TATATCACAAGCCAAATCGATTAACACGACTTTTTGAATTTTTTTTTTCTTTTTTTCTTAATTTAAGCGTCAAAACACTCGATGGATGGATCCTCGTTTTTTACATTCGTAATAAATTGCTGTCATTTAATACCATTGAATGAAATAAAATGTATATATAGTATAGGTATATATATATATATATATATATATATATATATATATATATATATATATATAGTTTATATATAGCAATTTATTATTACTACAGATAATCGAAATGGTCCATAGAAAAATATAACGACGTGTGTTCCACGTGAAATGATTGATCCATCGTAAATAAATACTTATGTACGTAGATCGTAAAAATCATTTTAGTATAGTACTCTAATTTCTAGTACAGGGTCATAAATTCTTTGCGTTCCTCGTAGAAATTTCTAATTGAATCGTTTTCCTCTTATTGTCTATTGATATAACTAAATTCCGCGGGGGCTTTTCGTTTCGACGTACGAAAATTTTCCTAACTTTGTCGCAATCAAAATTTTTATTTCAAAAAGATTACAACGACAACGTATACGTTCGTTTCCATAACATTTCAATACTTTTCCAACGATAAATTTATAAAGATCTTGAAGAGAGAATAAAATAGACATTGAGATTTTAATGAAAATATTTTATCGTATCCAATCGAAAGAGATATTATTAATTTCTTCATAGCATCGTCCATTATTAGAAAAATTATTACTTTGAAAGCTATCCCTTTAAAGACTTGTCTCGGTGTACGTATTTAAATTTTTGTGTCGTTAATGTCCATTAAAAAAAAAAAAAAATAAAAAAAAAGAAAGAAAAAAGAAAAAAAGAGCATCAAAAAAGAAAATTGAAAATTGAAAATTGAAAATTGAAAATTGAAAATTGAAAATTGAAAATTGAAAATTGAAAATCGTACGAATTTCAATTCGATAAATTTTGATACACGAGAGAAAAGGATTTTCGTCATCTCTTTTTTTTTTCTTTTCTTTTTTTTTCCCCCTCGAAAAATCGCTTTAAATCAATCCAATTTCTCGAACGAAACGTTCGGCCTTTATTGACCTAATTAAAAGGCACGGTGGTAACAAAAATTACGATAAACTCGGCGAAGCATTGACGACTGGCATCGTTCCTAATCGTGACATTCGTCTGCCATTTTTCTTTTTTTCATTATACCTTCAATACATCGCGATATCTCTCTCTCTCTCTCTCTCTCTCTTTCTCTCTTTCATTTTTTTTTTTTTTTTTTACTTTAGAATTGATATCGAATTCGTGAATCCGCACAGGCCTCGGTAAAAGTGCCGCAATGCGCTTTGACGTAGAGATACCAACGCGTGTATAGTGGCGATACGCGAATTTATGCGGCGTAAATGGCTGCTGCGTTCGATAGAGAGAAAGAGAGTGAGAAGGAAAAAGAAAAACAGAGAGAAAGAGAGAGACAGAGAGAAAGAGAGATAGAGAGAAAGAGAGAGAGTGAGAGAGAGATTGAGGAGAAGGGAAAAGAAATAAAGCTAGTTTTGTTCATCGATGCGAAGCTATGCTACAAATGGCATCTGTGCTACGAGTTTCTCTCTCTCTTCTCTCTCTCTCTCTCTCTCTCTCTCTCTCTCTCTCTCTCTTTGTCTCTATCTTTTCTTTGGACCGATAAAAGGGAATAAAAGATTATAGAAAACAGGGAAGATGGATATTGCAGTTTTCCGATCTCCCTCGTTCCGCGTCATTAAGATAAATTTATCGACTCGGCGAAACTTTGCTTACGTTTGTTCGCATACCAGACGCCATGTCGTGCCCTATAGATTTTATTTAGATAGAAAACACGGACGTAACCGTTTTCGAGTCCTCGCCTCGTTCATTTTACTTCATCGATTCTCAAGGATAAACTCAACTACGTAGTGGATTTACCAAGTGGATCCCCGAAGCGACGGAAGTAATTTTGCTTCTACGACCTCTAATTCTTCCTCCTCCAGCACGGTGCCATCCTCTATAAGGAGGATACAACCTTCTCTTCTCGGTCGATCGGTCACTCATTTCAATTTAATGAAAAGCAGTCGTCTTAAAGAGAGATGACTGACGGATCATATTAGATACATCAAAATCCATTGTGATCTGAGAAAATACTCGCGTGAGATGTATTTTTCTTTATTTTTTTTTTTTAATGAATACTTATCGTCTCTCTCGTATCTTAAATCGCCGAATTTTGAAAAGAAAAAAAAAAAAAATAAAAAAAAAAGAAAATGTTTCCGATCGTACTCATCAAAGTCTCAAAAAGTATCTTCAAAAGATATTTTTTTTTTATCTTCTCTTCTTTATTTTCATTTATTTCCAACTATGAAATTAACGAAATATATATATATATATATATATATATATTTTGTTAATGTATATTATTTGTAAAAGTGAGATGACATAGGTAACAACGAAATTTTGCCAAATATCATTCGACAATATTTTCTTTAAGCTTTAATTCGATTATAATTCAATTGTTATTCCAATGAAATATCATCGTTATAGTTGTATTTCACGTGCGTTTAGGTATATTAAATAAAAAGTCCAAAGAAAATATTCGTTCTTTATAAGATTTTGCAAGCTCGTCCGTCTTCCCGAGTCCTTTTAAAATATTCCTTCGTAACGTGGAACGTTGAAAGTAGTTGCTTTCACGCGAGCCTCCGGCGGCCGAGTTTAGTTAGGAAGTTTATCGCGCTAATTGAAGCCTTCGGACTCTTCGAATTCGAACTTACCCTCTTAGGAAAATGGTATGAGGGGTTGGGGAGAGATGAGGGCGGGTGGGCGGGAAGGGAAGAGATGGAGGGGGCCGGCTAATTGCCGCCTACAATTTCTGCTAATTACTTTCTCGCGAAGTTACCCACGACGTAGAAGAGGGTGCCTCGCTGGTTGACTCTCTTTTTCTCTCTCTCTCTCTCTCTCTCTCTCTCTCTTTTCGATTACTTATCGGACGGCGATACCGAACGTGAACGGTACGAACGATAATGGCAAACTCGCTGAGAGTAATCGTCATAGTCCCTTTTTCTTGATAACGAGGAATAGAGCTTCGAAAGTTAGCTCGTTAGGGATATCTATGTACGTAGGATTTCGATTCGAATCAAAACGATTCTTCTTTCGCTCCTTTTCACGATATACGAAAGAACAAATAAAAGAAATATACAAAAAAAAAAGAAAAAAAAATATATATATATATATGTATATAACATTTCGTTATATAGTAATTCCTTTAAGTTACTTTTGTTGAGAATACAATCGATTGTATCTAGTTAAAACAAAAAAAAAAAAAAAAGAAAAAAGAATGCATCGCACGTCCTTCATGTTTTCACCCTTTCAATGTCATTTTAATTCGAATAAAACTTTTACCATATTACTGATGTAATACGGCGCGAAAAACAACAGTTAAATAGATATATGTGTATGTATATATACATATATATATATATACGTATATATATATATATATATGTATATATATATATTTATAGCGTATATATAGCGACGGCGTATTAACAGAGCTCTCGTTGCATATGCAGATGCTACGTATGTATCTACGTAGGTTGTTCGTACAAGTGGCGAGAAGCTAGAGTCGACTCTACTGAGAGAACAGTTTAAATTATCTGGAAATGCATAGAGAGACCGAGAGAGATAGAGATAGATATACATATATATATATATATACATATATATATAGAAAGAGAGAGACAGAGGGAGAGGGAGAGAACTGACTCGAACCCTTTGACAAGGACATCTCAAAGCAAGAAGCCAAGCCTCTGGCATAGCCACTAATCTGCAGGTCACCTACACGAGAAACCACTGCGTCCACTTCTCCATCTCCTCTTCCACCTTAGTTTACTCCTACGTTTACTCCTGTCCTTAACGTACACGTACAAGTAATGGTAACACGTAAGATTGGGGTCCCCTTTCCGAATGGAGCGTGATTAATGCAACTAATCCTACTCTTGCTTATAGATACACGTATAATCACAAAGTTATATAATAGAACTTGGTATGGACATTCTATATCCCTCTGAGGGCCGATAATTCATTCATGTTTGAACGTATTATCTATCGTTCGGCATTCGAACGAAATCTTCTCTAACATGTGATGCTATTGTCACATGGAAAACATTGAGATCGTTCTAAATAGATTATTCGCCAATTATGTTAACACAAAAAAAAAAAGAAAAAAAAATAAATAAATAACATTTTCGTGAAATCTTGTGATTTTGAAAATTTTGTAAATCGTTATTATTGTTATATTTTTTTTCTATTCTTTTTTTTTTTTACTTCTTTCTTTAGTTCAATATTTCTCAAACTTTTCTTTCTGATTAGCAATGAAAAATTCACACGATCAATCCCATTTTCTCTATATCTGTTCAAAGTAATGGATTCGAGAAATTTTCTCGTGATTGAACGCAAAATTTCAATACAGAATTATTGACTTTTATACCTGTACATATGTGTGTGTGTGTGTATGTGTGTTCAGGTGTAGTTGTAACATGCTAATATAATATATATCGATGTATGTTGTGTGACATATAGACTCCTTTGGTTGATAATACGATCGAAACTATCTCAAGTTTCTCTAGGTGCTATAATTCATTGATTTCCTTAAAGAAATAAATCTTAAAAATTTCTAATATTATTATCAATATTATTATTATTATTACTATTATTATTATTATTATTATTATTATTATTATTATTATTATTATTATTATTATTATTATTATTATTATTATTATTATTATTATTAGAGCAATATTATAAGAATCTCTTGAACTTTTCGCTACGAAATGGTTTATTTCATATTTGTTCGGACGTCGGGATAAAAGAAAGAAAGAAAGGGAGAGAGAGAGAAAGAGAGAAAGGCAAAGGAAAAAAAGCGAGGAAAAAAGAACAAAAAAAAAAAAATTGCAAATATAAAAGAAAAGAAATAAAATATCGTGCATGTCGGAGCGCAGTTTTAGTAGACCTTTTGGAAACGACCTTGCCCGGGGCACGTTTGCTCGAGAAGAGAGACATATCCATTTTCCTGCAGGCTCGCGTTTCTTTAGAAAATTCGTTTCTCCGTTTTCCACCTGAAAAACGGAATACACGTTTTGTCAGTACGTGGGAGAATGCAATGGTAGTGGTTACCTACCGGTGGTGATGGTGATGGTGATGGTGATGATGGTGTTGGTGATGGTGGGTGGTGCTGGTAGCTGCTGGTAGTATTGCACGGAGAACGCGAAAACGACTCACGCAGAGCCTCTTTAGTGGCTCGTAATTCAACGAGAGCTTTTCTCGAATTCCCAGCAGCCGCGGTCGCAGTCGTGGATACAAATTTTGCACGCACATTTCCATGGTAACGGCCAGTCACCGTTCTTTAAAAAAGTATAAAGGAGGAGAAGGAGAGAGAGAGAGAGAGAGAGAGAGAGAGAGAGAGAGAGAGAGAGAGAGAGAGAGAGAGAGAAAGAGGGAGAACAAATGTTATGGCATTGTTCGTTCTAGTCGATAAGAGAAACATAAATTCTATAGAAGTAGAGAGAGAAAGAGAAAGAAAGAGAGAGAGAGAGAGAGAGAGAGAGAGAGAGGGATGAAAAAAAAACCGAAAAAAATCGTGATCGTAAAAGTTATTCAATTTGAAAAAAACTACGTAGGTATATTTCGTCGATCAAATAGTACGTACCGAACAATCGTCGACCTAAAAGTTAGCCGACAAAATATTGGATGAGACGGATCGACAGTGTAAGCTCGTGCTTCTTTCATTGTCGATCCTTCGTTTACCATCGAGAAAGATAAACGTCATGCAACGAATACCCAAAGTCTATATATTATTATACTATCATTTTTTTTGCTTCTACAACGATCGTATGTATGTATGTATGTATGTATGTATGTATGTATGTATGTATTTATGCATATATACAAGTATATTAACTTAACATTTTGTAATATCATTGTTAAAGTTTTCATATTAAAACGTTTAAAGAAAATATTGAATCGTAATGTTTAATATACCGCAATATCATTCGTGAATTGTTACAATGTAAACGAAAGTTTACTAACGTTTCCATAAGAATGTCAAGAAAGAGATACCATTATCATTGGACGCACGTAAGAGAAGGAGAGGGAGAGAGAGAGAGAGAGAGAGAGAAAAGGAAGAAAGTAAAGAAAGAAAAATGAGACAGAAGAGGACGAATCTAAACGAATAAAAAGTATTCTCGTAGTCGTAAGTTTAAAATGTATTATTTCAGGTTAGTTTTCAAGCTCGCGTCCACCGAGTCGTCGATTCGTTTCACTTAGGAAAAGATATACAATCCGTCTCCCCTCTCACCGACCAATTGAATAATTCACCATGCAAAATGCCGTAACTGGATTACATTTAAATAATTAAGCTACTACCCGAGCCAACTTCTCGAACCCGTATCTCGGATATAACGTTCCCTTCGACCGCTTACGAATTACACCCCAAAAGGAATTGGATCCTCGACTCCGATTGGATATTTCTTTTATCCTTCCTTTCCCTTCTTTTTCTTCTTCTTCGTTCTTCTTCGTCTTATTTCCTTTACTTTTACGTAAACAGATGATATGCGATTGCTAGAATTTGTCTTTTCTTTTCCCTACAACGTATTGCCCGTTTCAACGAGTAAATCTATTCTCGAAAGGAAAAATTTTTCTTTCGAACTCTTACTATTCGAATATTTTGTTTTCTTTTTCTTTACTTTTCTTTATCTTTCTTTCTCTTTAAACATCTTGACAAAAATTAAAACAAAAATATATTCCAAACATCATTCTTTTGTTCCAATAACATTATAGCAATATAAAAGTAATCGATAAAGTGAATCTCTCTCGTACGTTTTTATAACATTATATCGTATCATTAATGATAATAAATATTGATAGTAATTAATAATAGTAATGGTACTAATAATAATTAGTAATAATGACATTAGTAACAGCAACGTTACTATACCGAAAGGGTAAATAGAATGGAACAATATGAATTTAATTATTTTAATGAACTAGCATTAACATTAACTACATTAGCGCGAAGATGATTTTCATTGTAAGTAGAAATACGTTCTTCGGAAAAATCTTCGAGATTTTGATGGTTAAGAAAAAGTTAGCCGTTATAAACACACATCGCTGAGAGTTTTAACGACAACGGGAGGAGGGGGGAGGGAGGGAGAGGTAAAACGAGAACGGCATTTATACCGCTATCCTCAGAGATATACGAAAGTATGAACTTGTCTGCGTGCCTTTGCTCTCCGTGGAATGTGGCTTTACTTAAAGTTTGGACGTTCTCCAAACAGGTAAGCGAGAAAAGTAGAAGAGAAACAACGTTGAATATTTGAGAACGGCCAAAGAACGTATAAACTAATATAACGACGGAAACGTTTAATTATTTAATTTATTAATAATCGGTGAAATTATTTTCACGGCGATAAGAGTTTTGGAAATTTAACGTTAAAGTCTGTTCAATTTAGGACCACAGAAATGTCTATCTGTTTTCTGTTTCTTTTTTCTTTTTTTTTTTTTTTTTTTTTTTGATGAAATTATTCCACCCCCGGAGAGAAAAGAAAGAGATAGACGATGACAAAAACGTTTGACGTAGATAGAACAGGAAGGAAAACGTCTATTAGAAGAGAAATAAAATCTAGTCTCTTTGATAGATCCACATACATATACGCGCAAAGCGAAACAATTAAATAGCTCGGGGGACCACCCACTCGATTCACGATTCGCTTGCATATATCCAAGCCCCTTTTCTCCTACCGGAGTACCAAACCTCCCTCCCTACTCTCTCCTATGGGTCGTTCGTTCCCGGAGCTTTGCAGCAGATCTTTATTGCGTTTCGAAGTACCGGCAAGCACAAACAAAGCGGTAATCTGTCGCGCAGATTGTTGCGTCGTCGTGTACCCGGTGCTGCACGAAATTGCATTCCGTAGTAAACGGGCGAAAATGGCGTAGGGCGTGTTGCTCCCAGTATAGAAGAGAATGAAAGGAGATAGAGATAGAGAGCGAGAGAACGAAAGTGAAAGAGGGAGAAAGAAATAGAGAGAGAGAGAGAGAAGACTGCCCACTTGCATGCAAGAACAACGGCATACCATGATTTCGTAAAGTGTCGTAAAGTTTAGTTCCATGTGGATTTTACCGTAAAATTCGCCCTTTTCGGGCGATGTCCTTTAAAAGAAAAATTTTCCCTCGAGAAATGTTAGTTGGATCGATCGGCATTATCGATCTAAACTAAAGAGAATGATGGCTCTTAGAAAGACCGTCGTCGTTACATGAAAATTAACGATTCCAAGAAGTTGGGATTTTCTGGGAAAATTATTGGAAAAATGGAAAAAAAAAATAAATATATAAAAAAAGAGAAAGAAGGTAAGAAAGAGAGAAAGAAAGAAAGAAAGAAAAAAAGAGAAGAGGAAAAAAAGAAAGACTGGTATTTTCTCTATTAACGCCGAGATCGCGCCGATCTTTTCGCTAAAAAGCAGATTCGATCTTAATTACTACCCTGGACCATTCTCTCTCTCTCTCTCTCTCTCTCTCTCTCTCGTTCTTTCTTTTTCTTTTCTTTTCTTTTCTCGGCAAAGCTCGTAAAGCTTTCTAACGGCGCTAATGGCGAATAAGTAAAATGTCGAGAACCAAGATCCCTTTCGACGTTTAATCCAACGGAGATTTTTTATTGCCCCGAACATTTTGTACTCCTCCCTTCATGATGTTCACGTTGATTATAAAATACGATCTCGCTTTAAAGCGACACGAATTTCATGATTGAGTATGTCTTTCAAGGATATCGACGATATCTAGAAAAAAAAGGAAAAGAGAAAAGAAAGGAAAAAAAAAATTAAAATTAAAATAAAAAAGTACAAAACAATAATATCGAAAAAGAGAAAGAAGAAAATATTCGTCGAGCCGGATTTGCAAATCATCAATTAATTACTTACGTACGTGTCCCAGTCTCTCTCTCTCTCTCTCTCTCTCTCGTTTTGTTTTATTCGTTATTTTGTTATCTTGTACGTCAACTGTGAAACGATCTCGTAATCTCATGGGAAGAGTAAAAAATAAAAAATAAACAAAAATAATCTCACGCACATACATACATACACGCGCACAAACAAAGAAAAACAAACAAACACACACACACACACACATGTATGAGATAGAGAGCAGAGACAGAGAAGGAGAAAGAAAGATAGATGAAACGGAAGAACGGGTTTTCTCTGTTAATGCTCAATAACTCATCGGGCCATTGTTTGCCTTCGATAAAATTCAAATAGCGGAGGAACTCTAGCGCTTCGGCATGTTCGTTACTGTGTATACCGAATAGAGCTGGGACACCCATCTACTACTAGCCCACTATGTAAAACAACGAATTGGAAAACGAACGATACGACAACCAGCGCGGAACAGATCATTGTTCGGTTCTCGCCATCGTTTTTTTTCTCCCTCTTTCTCTCTCACACTCTCTCCCTCTTTTTCTCTCACACTCTCTCTCTCTTTCTCTCTCACACTCTCTCTTTCTTTCCTTCCTTCTCCCTTTCTTCTCTCTCTCTCTCTCTCTCTCTCTCATTTTTTTGCTTTTTGTTCATTTGCCTAGTTTTTTTTCTTTTTTTTTTTTTTCGATCGTTTCCTCTCTTTTTCGCCACTGTGCCGCGTTACACACTTGTTCCGTCGTCGTCGTCGTCGTCGTCGTCGTCGTCGTCGTTATCGTTGTCGTTGTCGTTATCGTCGTCGTCGTCGTTGTTGTTGTTGTTATTGTTGTTGTTGTTGTTGTTGTTGTTGTTGTTGTTGTTAGTCTCTTTTCACAGTGAGGCGATAAATATTCGTTCGTCGTTTGAAAATTGGCGACGCGCGAGGATCGTTCATCCAATCCCCTCCCCTCCACTTCACTTCCCCTATCGTTCCTTCCACAAAGATCCCCTTTGGCCCCTCTCTCCCTCTCTCTCTCTCTCATCGACCTCCTCGTATGTATGTATTTGGGCACAAATTGATGGATTGCGATTTCGGTCGTGGCTTTAAAGGTTTCCAACTCGATTCTCCCTCTCCTTTCTCTCTTTTTTTCTTTTTTTTCTTTTTTTCTTTCTTTTTTTTTTTTTTTTTTTTCTTACATCGATCTCCTGCTTAATACCGAACGTTCGATAATAATCATAACGCCAGTCGTGTGGGTTTATCATTCTGCGTATTTTCATTTACCATTAGAGATCTTACGAAGGTTTATTTCAATTTTTCGTTCTTTTTCTTCTCTTTTTTTTCTTTTTTTTATTTTTCTCTTTTTCAATTATACAAGATCCATTTAAAAACTTCTTAAGAACGAACTTAATGGAAAATAGTATCATATGTGAAGGTTTCTTTTTTGTGTAAAAAGAAAGAAAAGGGAAGGAAGCAACAAAAAAAAAAAAGAAAAGAACG